TTTCCACAGCCTGCACAGGGAGGTACGGGTGCGTAAACTGGGGGAGAGGAGACGTTTCCTACTTTGCATGATCAGTTCCGCACAGGACTGTGTTTTATTACTGCTGCAGTTTTACAATGTGTGGCTCAACCCACACATGCTATCCAATCGTCATTGGATAGTTCAGTTGTAGGCAAGGCAAGGCAAGTTTATTTATATAGCACCTTTCAACACAAGGCAATTCAAAGTGCTTTACAAAAATGGAAGACATTAAGAAAATGGCATTTAAAATCAGTCATTAAAAATTAAAAATAATAAAATAAACATTAAAAGAAAAAATACATGGATAAAAGTTACAGTGCAGTTTAAGATATGAATAGTTCAATTAAAAGCAGCGACAAAAAGAAAAGTCTTCAGCCTGGATTTAAAAGTAGTAAGAGTTGCAGCGGACCTGCAGGTTTCTGGGAGTTTGTTCCAGATATTTGGAGCATAATAACTGAACGCTGCTTTACCATGTTTAGTTCTGACTCTGGGGACAGAAAGCTGACCAGTCCCTGAAGACCTGAGAGTTCTGGATGGTTCATAATTTAGCAGTAGGTCAGACATGTATTTTGGGCCTAAACCATTCAAAGCTTTATAAACCAGCAACAATATTTTGAAATCTATTCTTTGACACACAGGAAGCCAGTGTAAGGACTTCAGAACAGGAGTGATGTGATCCACTTTCTTAGTGTTAGTGAGGACTCGAGCAGCGGCGTTCTGAATTAGCTGCAGCTTTCTAATAGATTTTTTAGTGAGACCTGTAAAGACACCATTACAGTAGTCCAGTCTACTGAAGATAAAAGCATGGACAAGTTTTTCCAAATCCTGCTGTGACATTAGTCTTTTAATCCTGGATATATTCTTTAGGTGATAGTAGGCTGATTTAGTAACTGTTTTAATGTGACTGTTGAAACTCAGGTCAGAGTCCATGACTACACCTAGATTTCTGGCTTTATCTGTTGTTTTGAACATTGCAGACTGAAGCTCAGCGCTAACTTTTATACGTTCTGCCTTGGCTCCAAAAACCATTACCTCAGTTTTATCTTTGTTTAATTGGAGAAAGTTCTGACACATCCAGTCATTGATTTGTTCAATGCACTTACTCAGTGTTTGAATTGGAGCATAGTCTCCTGGTGAAATTGTTACGTAAATTTGTGTGTCATCCGCATAGCTATGGTAACTTATTTGGTTGTTTTTCATTATCTGAGCCAGTGGTAGCATGTAGATGTTAAAGAGAAGAGGCCCCAAGATGGAGCCTTGAGGTACCCCACATGTCATATTTGTCAACTCAGATGTGTATTTACCTATAAAAACAAAGTTTTTTCTGTCCTTTAAGTAGGACTCAAACCAATTTAGAACTGTTTCCGAAAGTCCCACCCAGTTTTCTAGTCGGTCTAGTAATATGTTGTGGTCAACAGTGTCAAACGCAGCACTGAGATCTAATAATACTAACACTGAAGTTCTGCCACTGTCTGTGTTTAAGTGGATGTCATTGAAGACCTTTACAAGAGCAGTCTCAGTGCTGTGGTTTGGACGAAATCCTGACTGGAACACATCCAAACAGTTATTTAAATGCAGGAAGTTACTCAACTGTTGAAATACAACTTTTTCAATGATTTTACCTAGAAATGGCAGGTTTGATATTGGCCTGTAATTGTTCATTACTGAAGCATCTAGATTATTCTTTTTTAGGAGCGGTTTAATGACTGCAGTTTTCAGGGCCTGTGGAAAAATACCTGAGTGAAGAGATGTGTTTACTATATGAAGTAGATCTGAGGCCATGCAATGAAAAACATCTTTGAAAAATCCTGTTGGAATAATATCAAGGCAGCAGGAGGAGGATTTCAGAAGTTGAATAATGTCCTCTAAGTTTTTATCATTAATCTGATGGAATTGTGTCATGGTGTTTGAATTGATATTAGGTGGACATAGGGACAACACATTTGCTGTACCTGATGCAGAGGCACTGACTGCTTGTCTAATTTTCTGAATTTTGTCAGTGAAGAAGGAGGCAAAATCATTGCATGCCCTGGTGGATAGAAATTCAGATGCTACTGACACTGGGGGGTTAGTTAGTCTGTCGACGGTAGCAAACAAGGCACGTGCGTTGTTTTTGTTTTTGGTAATGATGTCAGAGAAGAAAGACTGTCGTGCGTTTTTCAATTCCAAATTATAAAGGCCAAGTCTCTCTTTATAGATTTCAAAGTGAACCTGGAGATTTGTTTTTCGCCACCTACGTTCAGCTTTTCGACACTCTCTTTTTTCTGTTCTCACGGTCATGGCCTTTCTCCATGGAGATATTTTCTTGCCAATTACTTCCTTTACCTTAGTTGGAGCAATGGTATCTATAACATTTTTAATTTTTGAATTAAAATGATCTACTAGCTCATTTACTGAGATGTTAGCAGGGGCAAGTGTGGATGAAAAATTATGAGTAAACATTTCCCTAGTATTTTCAGTTAAATATCGCTTTGTGGTTACCTCTTTCTGAACATTTTTTGTGAACAGAAATAGAGCTCTCAAAGAAAACACAGGAATGATCAGATAGTGCAACATCAGTCACCACAACTTTTGAGATATTGTAGATGTAATACCGTTTACAATGTTCAATTTGCATGAACATGAACATCTAGACAACGTGTGGAGTGAAGGATTTAATGTTGTGTGGCATTTAAAACGTGTTGAATATCCCTGCCAGAACGGGTGTGTTTAGTGAAGTTTTTTTAAATGCTATAGTTTGAAATCTGCAAGATAGTTTTATGTTTTCTGAACAATTATGTTAACAAAATGTGCCAGATAATAAGGGCCCATAATCGCTGATGGTTTAATTAAAATAACACAGTATCACCATGAACTTGAACACTATATTGTAACAAGTAATTCGAACTTGTAACTGAAGCCCTTAAAAACCCCACAACAGACACACTATCGCAAAGAGATGGAGCAAGTATGCACAGAGTATGAAAAAATGTGATATGAACACTAGTCCAGTTTATGACAGCATGTTTGATTGTCCAGTTATACAGATTTGGAAAAAGAGTTAAAGAATGTTCCTTAGTTCTGTGGGTATACCTACTGTATATGTGCTGCCCATAGGAAAAGGCTGACTGCCAAAGGTACTTTTTCTATAAGCTTTTTTACAATTGTATACACTAGTAACATGTCTGCAAATTGTATAATGTTTTCCCAGTTTAAGAAACCATATTTAGTTCAAATCCGTGTTCATTTTAATTACTTAATATGGGTCTTCTGCTTGGTTGTTAAACCAATAATAATTTGTTAGTTAGTTGTTTTTAATTAATAAGATGATCGAGGTTTTCGTTTTTTTTATGCTTTAATGAAATGAGTTTAAATGGAAATAAAGCGTGTTAATAAATCATATATTTTTAAAGAATTACTTTTTTATGCTCAGGTGTAAAAATAGTGATTTGAGTGAAATTGCTAAATAATGAATGATGAGCATCTTCATTTCCCTTTTCCTCTGTCCAAAATGCATCATCATGAGTGTGAAAGAGCAGTTCTGCTCCTCTTGAGAAACTCTCTGCAAACAGCAAAACACAAAATAACTGCTTTCAGACTGCTTTCAAAATGAAATATGTTTCTGTGCTGGTAATATTGTAATTATATTACTGTCAACAAATCCTGTCAGAAGACCAAACCTTCAATGAACTGATACTACCAACAACTTTTAGACAAAGCCTGATGTATTTTAATTCTCCATTCAATGAGCAACATTGTTGCACTGTGTGACATTTTCCTTATTCCAATAAACATGAATACTGTAGTTTTTTTAAGTCAATCTCCTGAATACTGTAAGTGTATTAAAAATAGGATTAAGTTCTCCCTACCTCATGCACATTGACACATATATTTATCTACAACACTGTTAAGAATTCTTCATGTTCAGATGGTCTTATTTGAAATGGGCTATTATTTTGTTATGCAGGTTGTTTCTGTTTGAGCCGTTCGTACATTATGTTCATGCTGTCGCAGCATTGCAGGAGTCTGACAGAGAAGTCACTAATGATAAACTTCTCCATTTCTCCATTTCTCCATTTCTCCATTTCTCCATTTCCCCAATTCCCCAATTATTCTCTTTAGGTCTATTATTCGTGCATGTACAACAACATGATGTACCGTATGTACCATCCATGTCCTGACAAGTAAAGACATTTAAAACCATCTGATGAGTCTGTGCTCTCTGACTGGCCCTCCTGTGGTCGATTATCCACAACACCAGCTTAATACCCAACAAACACATTTGAACATGACAGCATCAAAGTCGTTTGTCACACAACTTCAATAGATTTATGATGAAGAAATGTCGACCAGTTCAACTAAACAGTGTCACCCAGAGAACAGACCCAGTTCAGAGTGAAGCTGGATCTTGTAATGCTTTGAAGGCAAGTGATCATCTTTCTGCTGGCTCCATCTCCTTTTCTATCTTAAAGTCAAAGTGTTCCACCACAGTAATAATAAGGTGGATAATTGCAATGTGGAAACGCTAGAGGGCAATACCACCTGCATTGTGACATACTCAAAAGGACAAACAACTTCTTCTTTTTTTAAATGTCATTTACAAACATTTAAGGCACTTATTTTCAGTCAAAAGTACTTGGTGTGAAAGCCAAGTACACACCATTGAATGGTTGTTAATACAGTTTAGATATAATACAATAAACAATTTAGGAGAAACAACTGACAGACACAAGAGAAGTCAACAGGAGCACAACAAATATCTATTTTTCCTAGGACATCATTTCCAGAATGAGATTTGGTCACAAAGGGCTAAATAGCATTTTTGTTCTTTATGAAAAATGCATCAGGCAAATGTGAATATTGAAAAACTTTTTTTGCAATGTCCAAAATACCAGCAAGACCGTTTTTAGCAAATATAAAATAGATTTTGCTAAGGAGTTCAGGGGATGTAGGCCAGAAGGTGGCGGTAAATGCACCTAAAAGCTGTTTGCCATCCGCCGTTAAAACAACAGAAGAAGAAGAAGAAGAAGAACTGACAGACAAAATGGCTGAGGGACGAAGCTAGCTGCTCGGCTAATGTAAACATCCACCTACATTAGACTGGAGCTGGAGCGACGATAACGTTACGCGATAGCGTCGTCACACTGCGAATGAGCGTGTATGTTGACACAAAACTCACGTAGACACTTAAGCACGTTTATTAACAAATCGATGATTCATGTAGTTCGCTTAGCTAGCTAAGTTAGCTATGTAATTAGCACAGGTAAACACTGGTAGCTAGCTGCAGATTAGCTTGTATATTGCGTTTTTGAGTAACACTTCTGTGGACATGCTTGTGTAGCGTTACAAAACATTATACCATCTTTCATGATGGTATGTTTTAAGACAACGCTGTTTTGAACGGATATTCAGTTATTGAGTTGCTGTAACTGAGAAAGCTGTCATAAGCTAATGCTAACAGGTCATCACAACTAGAGACATTCTGTTTTACTGGATTTATTGTGTCTCAAAAATAAATCAAGTTAAAGCCGTCAGGGCCTAGGTTAACGTTAGCACGTTTGGCCATGCTACAATAAAACTACTGTTGATTTTCGCCGGTTTTGGTTAACGACTGTGGTGGGTTTTGGACTTAGCTTAGTTAATGATAGTTAACCAGTCAATGCAGTAGATTCAATTATTTATGAGTGGCACATTAAATGGATTAAGAATCAGCGGGGTTTTTCTTTTTCTACACACGACAATTCTCCTTTTTACACTTCATTGCTGTTGGCACTCACGTTTGCTTTTTGTTTTTAAAGTTGTCTGTCTTCTTGTGGCCCCAGCAGTGTTTTAACTTCTAAGGATGATGAGCCAGCGGCGTGGGATCCATCTGGACCAATCGGAGCTGCTTTGCACTAAAGGATGTGGTTTTTATGGCAACACTGGCTGGCAGGGCCTGTGCTCAAAGTGCTGGCGAGAGGAGAATCAACGAGAAAAGCAAAAACAGATTCAAGAAGACTGCGCACTTGCTGAAAGGTTCGTCTGTCTCTCTGTGATCCCGAAGTACAGTGTATTTTGTTCCTTTATCCCATAATTTGTCATTCCATCTGAACAATACCGCAGTTACTCTGTCTTCTTCCCCCCCAGGCTGCAAAAAGAGGAAGAGGAAGCATACACAAGCAGAAATCAAAAGGCCCAATCACAGCCTACCATCACACCCTTTGGCAAGTTCGTGGAAAGAAAAACTAAGGAAAAGTCCAGCAAAGTCAACACAGTTACAAAGTTTTTTACTCCCTCCTCAAAAACACCACCAAAAAAAGGTACATACTTAACTGCAATTGATGCATGTCATTTATCAAACTTTTTAACTTGTGGTAATATTAATTATGTATTCTAGGCCTCTGACCTGTTAACCTTAAAAAACATGAGAACAACAATACAACCAATATATTTGCCGTTTTATTTTTCTATTTTAACCCCATCCCTGGATTAGTACCTTGATCCCCTACTCTTTAAAATACAATGACATATATGACGCATGTGGCAGAAGAGATATTAGGAGAAATGCTTTAGGGGTTTGTAGCTTTGATTAAAGTAATGTAATGTATTTTCCCAGATTCTCCTTTTGATGCTCACTCCAGCCCAAGCCCCAGCTCCTCCACAAGCCGGCACTCCTCTGTGGACAGTGACCATGCGACGAGAGAGTTCATTGATTTCCTCAAGCCTCTGAAGTCTGGCAGGGAGATCTTCAAACAGTGCCGGGCCTTCACTGAGAGCATGGTCTATAAGCGGGTGAGTGGATTACTCATCATGTTTTTGAGTTTAATGAGCTTGTAGGAACCATTTCATCCTTATGTATGATTAGTTTTGCAAATATAGACAACCTGTTAACAAATTACTTTTGATTTTGTTCATGTACAGCAATGTTAGCAATAAAGATTTTCAAGTCATTTGGGATACAATGTGTCTACTCTCCACCAGTGTTAATTATTATACTGTTCACTGTGCAACACCAATAGTCACACATTTTTATTAAAGTGAAAACAAGTTTTTGTAAATATATAATTGGGATTTTTGCACCTTCAGTCATTGAAGGAGTTGTCATTATGTTAACATTTAAAATAGTCTGAAATTGCACCATTTAAACTAATAACATGGTTAAAATGTTGTGCTACATATTGTATTACTGTGTCATATGTGGGCTGGGTTTAAATGTCTATCCCTGTACCATTACAGTATTTTAAGTTGATATTCAAACGAATGTAATCTGAATCTTTAATTTCTATTTGCTCAGGACATGGCAGCTGATGAGCTGTCAGAGTGTGTGCAGGATTTCTACCAGAATCTCTCAGACCGCCTCCACACCCAATTCAAAGGTACTGCCTAACTCTTACATTTGAGTAGAATATAAATAATTAATATCAGTAACATTAGCACTGTAATAAGCTCTGTATATCTTTGATTTGTGTGCCTCCATTCCTAGGTTCATCAGATCATGTAGAGAGTGTTATGGATGAAGTAGAGAAGTACATGATGACTCGTCTTTACAAAGAAGTGTTCTGTCCTGAGACTACAGATGATGAGAAGAAAGACCTTGCCATTCAGAAGAGAATCAGGTTAGCAAACAAGATGATGTATTATTCCTAATTTTGCTACTCAATTATTCATTTTTTGGCATCCCTCCTGAGCACAAGAAAATACAATTGCAGCAGAAATTGCAACCTTTTCTTACGTTATGGTGTTCTGTTACAGAGCCTTGCATTGGGTCACCATTGAGATGCTGTGTGTTCCTGTAGAAGAGGAAATCGCTGAGGTGTCAGACAGTGTAGTCAAAGCCATCACAGGTACGTTTTTTACAGAAGGACAACACGTTGTTATTTTGGCAATAGAGATCCGCTAACATTTTCAGATTAAACAACTTCTCAAATCTTTGCATCATTTCAGATGTGATTGAAATGGATTCAAAGCGCGTGCCCAAGGAGAAGCTGTCGTGCATCACTCGCTGCAGCAAGCACATCTTCAACGCCATCAAAATCAGCAAGAAAGAGGCTGCGTCTGCGGATGACTTCCTCCCCACGCTCATCTACATTGTGCTGAAAGCAAACCCTCCAAGACTGCAGTCCAACATCCAGTACATCACCCGCTTCAGCAACCCCGGCAGACTGATGACAGGAGAGGATGGTTACTACTTCACTAACCTGGTGAGGAAATGAGGACAGGCTTGTCATTATGATGTTTGTGTTTGTCCCTAAATCTATATGTTTCCAAATGTTTTAAGCTATGGTGATATGAAGCTGTGCGGTTATACCGATAGGCAACCCATTTATGTCAATGTGATCTGGCGAAACAACCGACACACCTTTATGCAACTCAATACAGTTGAATAGTACCACTAGCACAGTTGATGGGAAAGTGATTTAAGGTTTTAAGTGGTCTTAACAACAATTACATTCATATATATATCAGGGTTTCCGTTAGCCGGTAATTACCGGTTTTTAGCTGGTCAAATTTATAAAAAAACGGTAAATTCAAAACCTGCCGGTCAAAATGTCCGGTAATAATTAGGGATGCTCCGATCGATTGGCCGCCGATCATTATCGGCTGATATTCACTCCTAATAGTTTGATCGGTGCTCTCTATAAAGGCCGATCAGGAGAGCTGGAACTGATCGATATGGACATAAACGCGAGTGAAGTATAACCGGACGAGAGAGAGAGAGATCAGAGATCAGAGATCAGATCAGCTGCTGAGTCTGACGGAGACACACAGCTCTGCATGATCACCTGAAGCCCTGCCCACTGTTTAGCGAGCTGCATGAGATACTGACCGGCTGTCAGGAGGGAGAGAGGAAAAAGAGAGGCTCCGTTCCTCCCGTGTTATTATTCAAACTTAATGTAAACTTTTGAATAATGTACTTCATCTACTACAAGTAGTTTGTTTGAATGTAATAATTATGTTGTTTGCTGTTTGTGGAAGCGCATCATTTTTTGAAAAATGAATCTGAACTTTTCGATCTGTTACGATTATAAACTGAAGCAATATAAAAACGAGTTTTAAACATCAGCATATCCGGTCATAGTCCGGTAAGTACCTGCTAACGGAAACTCTGCTACACAATTCTTATTATTATTGAAACATGACTGGTAAGTTTCGAATTCGTCCGGTAAAATAAATTATTTCCGGACATTTGACCGGCAAGAAAAAATCCTAGTGGAAACCCTGATATATATATATATATATATATATATATATATATATATATATATATATATATATATATATATATATATATATATATATATATATATATATATATATATATATATATATATATATATATATATATATATATATATATATTGGTAAACGCAAAATAGTGATGATAGGAAATGATTAAAAAAGCAACAAAGGTCCCTGATAGGACTAACTTTCCAATCGGGGGCCAGCTTTTTGTTTTGTAGTTTTTCTGGTGTAGTCTGTAACTTAATTTTTTTTTTAAGTTTACATTGGTCATATTCATCACTCATTTAAAAAAGATATGTGTGAACTGTTCAGTAAGGGCAAAATACAAAAAAGGTCATTTCTGATGACATCCAGAGGTGAGATTTGCGGTTAATGACCCCCCCCCCCCCCCCCCCCCCCCCCCCCACCTTCCCTCTCTTCAGTGCTGTGCGGTGGCCTTCATCGAGAAGCTGGACGGCCAGTCTCTGAACCTGAGCTCTGAGGAGTTTGACCACTACATGTCGGGCCAGGCCTCCCCCCCCTGGCCACAGCCGGGCGGAGCGTCCTCCAGCTCCCCGGGCAGCGCCGCTCTCAGTCAGGTCCCCAAGGGGCTGGACCTGCTCACTGGGCTGGGGGAGAGGCAGGAGAGGGTCCTGGAGGAGGCTCGCCAGCTGGAGAGCGACCTCATCGACTGGACGGATGAAGTGGAGCAGAAGGTGCAGAGCGTTCTGGAGAGCTTTCCCCCAGAGACAGAAACCCCTGCTCCTCCCACAGCGAGTGGGACGGCTGTTTCAGCGACGGCTGTTTCAGTGGCGTCAGCCATCGACTCTGATAACGTGGAGAATGAGCACCTGCCCCCCCCGCTGACACCGCAAGTGTTTGCTGGTTGATGTGAAGAGCTCTGCTTAAAAAAAAAGAAAAGAATATCCTCTAGAGGTGGAGCTTTACTCCACCTTCACCCTTCCCTTATGTTAAATGTTTCTGTCCGTGTGCACATACAGGAGACACTCCAGCCATCCCTTCTCATCCCTGCAAGAGGCCCAACAATTACACACAGAACCTTTGAATACAATAAGTTAATATTTTGGCATTCCGGTAAAGTACACTTATTTGCTTTCATGCAGAAAGTTAGATTAGAAGATCATTAACCTTCATGTACAGTCAACATAAAGCTGAGAGTAAAGGCTTGAAACAAGAGGTACACTTTTAGCAGGACCCTTTCCAAAGGTAACACACATCCGCACACTAGCACCTCGAAATATCACTCATTAACATGTTACATTTTTTGTTGTTTAGTATGAAAAAAAAGGTGTAAAAACAAGACTTTTTTTTTTGTCGCCTTTGGACAGAGTCAGGCTAGTTTTTCCCGTTGCAAAGCTAAGCCTAAGTGTCAAAGCTTTTGCTCACTCTTTTATTGGACAGACGTGGGATTTGTATTGATCTTCTTATCTAACTCTAGGCATATTTGTGAATAAGCATTTCCGAAGAGTTCCGGAAGCCAAGTTCACTCCAAGCATTTTGTTACAGATGCGATGCGGCCTCTGAGGTGAAGCCCTGACGTTCTGCTTCTCTTACATTTTCAGGATAAGCAGATTTGTTTAACCCAGCCATGTCCTTTGTTGTTCCCGGGCTTTAGTAATATTACCCCAGTGTGCTACTACTGTTGCTTCCTCAAAGTGAGATGTGCCGGGAAACGCAGACTCCACTCCAAGCTCTTCCTGAAACACATCTGCATCACCTCAGTACTTCTCCATCCGTAGTGTCGTACTTACATGCTTTCCAAAAGGAAAATTGGGTGGATGTGATTTTTAATCATTCTTCTGTCATTTTTCTTTTTCTTTTTTGGTTATGTGATGAGGTCACTAGGTGTAAATTGACTGTCGCAAATTGAAGCAGGGGCTCAAAGGGTCACACACACACAACCTGACATCTAATAACTTGACAGGAAAGTTCAGTCACATTTCTTTTTGGCAAAGGAAATGGAGGAGTCTGAGTAATGCGAAACTTAACTTCCCTTGTGATTTGTTCTGTGATTACTGTGTACCTCCCTGTAGAAGAAATGTGTGTGTGGCAGATTTGCATGCGGGCAAGTGTGTGTGAATGTGAGCGTGTGTTTCATGGACATGTTCCCTTATTGTCTGTAAATGATTTAGTCCTCGCAGCTGTGTGTTTATGGAAATGTTGGTCTTGTTTTCATGGCAGCCCTCTCACTCCAGTCATAGGCTGGATGTACAGAAGTGATTTTATTTTTCTATAGAGAGGCAGGTATCAATTATTTTGGATGCAATAGAAGACATAAAGCCTGTAATATTTACAGTAGTACTCTTGATAAAGAACATTGCTTGAAGACATGTTACAAACATTATGATTGAATGGTAACATTCTCAAATACTCCAAGAGGTTATCATAAGCATGACTCATAATTTCATCGTGACAGGGTTTTTTCTTTTGCTCCGTCAGGGCTTTTGGATTTCAGAAGTAAAAAGACGGTGCAGTTTCCCAGAAACGCGCGTCATAGAAATTGTTCCAAGGCCGGTTGCTTTACTAGTTCAGAAGAATAAACATGAAATAACCAATTTAATATATTTGAAAGCACTTTTATTCTGTATGATTTTTAAAGCTCCTATTTCAGAAGTATATTTAATGAAGGAACTAATGGCTTTATTCAGTTGAAGGGTCAAAGGAGAGTTGGTGAAAACAGTGTTGTTCAACTGCCTTTGTGTTTCGAATCGAAGAAATGTTTGGGATTGGCAATTTTCTTTTTCTTTGCTCATGAGATAAGGTTTCCTTAAGTTGCTAGATTTTTATCTTTTTATCTTTCTTTGCAGCACTTATAGTCAGTGTGCAGTTGCTGTCCAATTTTAGTCAAATATCCACCTTTTAATGCAACCTTAAACAATAGCTTGAGTAACTTCATATTGCACTGTAAACAGAAGCCATTATCAGGTATTTTAAGGAAGTTTAAAACATAATCTTTGTAACCTTATAGGTTTGTAAATGTAACACATCGGAGAAATTAACTCTGTCTTTTATTTAAATGTAACTTATTATTGGGGCAGTATTGGTATATTCGCCTCTGGGTGTGTGATGATGAATAAAAACTGAAAATGCACGTGCTGGTGTGAAGTTCCTGTTCATCGACTTTCACATGACTCACACTTCTGCATGCTAGATATAGTAAAGACCTTGCATGCAGAATGTATCTATTTACTTAGTTTATAATAAAAGGCTAAATAAAAAGCATAGTAATTGTAAACGCTAACAAATGTAACACTTTTGGTATTCATGGCCCTGTTTCCCAGCAAATTCTCACATTCCTCCCTCTTGCAGACTAAGAGTTTATGATCTTATTAAATAATGTCAGATTTGCTTAGAGTCATGAATACATCTAAATACAATGAAAAATGAAAATGTTACAGTGGCAGAAATAACTATCAAAAAAGAACCAATCAACTATTTCATTTTTTTTAAATAGCATTCAAAAGCTGTACACCAATGAAGTACCTTTATAGTTTTTCTGAGTAAGACTAATCCTTTATGTGTATCTTTCAAAATCAATCAATCAATCAATGTTTATTTATATAGCCCAATATCACAAATGTTAAATTTGTCTCAGTGGACTTCACAGTTTGTACAGAATATCAGTATGACAATACGACACCCTCTGTCCTTAAAACAATAAATAATTGTAATAAATTATTAAATTATCTTTTTATAAAAAAATGCTCTTTGTTACTATTCCTCTAGCTGTCTGTTTGAGTACAAACTGAATTTTTGTCAAAAATGACTAACTTTGCACTTAAAGATTGTGAAATTGTCCTTAGTATTAATTATTATTATTTTACAACAATATTAATTGTTCTGTTGCATTATTAGTCCCATTTGTATTTCTCATGTGCATTTCTATTGAAATTCAGAATCCGAAGAAAACAAGGGTGTGTTAGTTTCACTTCCTTTTGGTTTTCCCCAAATTTCCCATTGAGGGTTTCAAGAAAATGGATTAGAAATTAGGAAAATATAACAATATAATTGTTAAAATAAAAAATGGCTCAGATTATGTATCACAAAAGGTGATGGTTCACTTCAATGCTAATGCCAATCCGTTTGTGAGAACTTTATAAACTTCAGAAATGCAAGTGTTATTTAAAATAAAAAGGGGATATCCTGTGTGACATGTTTAAGCTGATAAAAAAAACTCATTTTCACTTCCCTCTCCACTGGAAATAAAACAATCTCCCTCCCAGCCTTTTCCTCACAAGCAATCAAAATGAACCCGGTCATTTTCCTCTGTGGTGAGTTTTCTTCCGTTCATTTGCAACATCTCAAATGTAACGATGTTCTTAAAAGATTGTTATCAACTTTGATTTGTCTAACGCCTGATCTTTTCTCTTTTTCAGTTCTCTCGATGCTACCACAACTTGGGGGTATGTACCACATGTTCCTATCAGTGAATTCTTAATATGGGATACATTTCACATCACATAGTGTCAACATTTGCAAGCATACTGTCTGAATAAAACGTGTATACATAAATATACGTTTGAAATGTATTGTCAAGTTCATAAATATTTTTGAACAAATGCAAGAATAACATGTTTTCTTTACATGGAAAACAATATATACTAAAACATTATTGAAAAAGTTAAGGTGATTCACACCAGGTCTCACATCTCACGTCTTTTTATTATTATCTTCTTATCTTATCAATGCGTTGTTTGAATTGACTATGAGCATTATCCTGTACAAACTAGTATATCAACACTGAAAAGATGACATGTGAACTTTAGAACATGATATGAACAGTGCCAATCATAATAAAGACACTGCAGGTATATATATATATATGTTTTTATGACAGTTCTCTTTAAAAATCCCATATGTGTTTGTCTCCATAGCTCCGTCTGTGGCCCCGTTCAGAGCTGTTGTGGAGATGGTGTCAGGGGATTCAAGGATCTTCTCTGGAGAGAGTGTCCGGCTGAAATGCAGTGTCCCTGATGTCCGATCCTCCTGGAGCCACCTGTGGTTCAGAGGATCTGAGCAGCTCCCACAGCATGGCCAACACCTTATTTTGTGGAAAATGAAGATTCAAGAAAGTGGGAAATATTACTGCGAGGGAGTGAGGGACTCACAAGTGGGAGACATAAAGACCCTCCAAAGTCTGCCATTGGAGATCAGTGTGGATGGTAAGAACCTTAGTATCATTTCATTAGAAATCCCTTGATTAACACATCATGCCCCTTCTTCCTCTTTTCTTTCCTACTTGTGCTGATGTTGTACACTTTGAAAATTGTGAAACATTAAACTCTTGCAGTGCTCAACTTCTTTTAAAATGTTGTGTGTGTTTATTTTAAGAAAAGAAAACCCTTTTAAGACACATTTGCATTTAAGGGTCAACTTTAACCCGCTGCCATTAGCTTGTTTTATTACTGTCAATATCAACACCAGATGATACTTGGATGTAACTTTATTTGTCTGCATTCTTCATTCAGGAGGGTGGGTTATCCTACAAGTCCCACCTGAGCCCAGCCTCGTCAGTGACACCTTAAAGGTAATGTGTCGCGCACGAGGCACACCCCCACTGCATGAAGTGATTTTGTACAAAGATGCTGTTGAAGTAATGAGACAAAATGGCCTCAACCCATATTTCTACCTGACCAACTTGACCCTCGAGGAACAAGGAGTGTATTCTTGTAGGGCTTCCTGGGACATAGACAGACGCACGCGCTCTGTTATCTCAGCTGATGCTTCAGTGCAGATCTTCGGTGAGTTTATATATGCTGAGTTTGGTTGTGGTTGCAAATGTTTAAACTATTGTTCGACATTTTTGAAAATGCCCTTATTAGTTGTTAAATGATCATACAATGGGGAACAAACTCTTCTCCAGTTATTCTTTCAAACCTTTTGAATGTGTCAGTAATGTATTTTTCTTCTCTCCTATCTCAGATGTTCTGTCACTGCCAGTTTTGGAGATTGTTGCAGATAATGACCTGATGCCAGCGAATAAAATGAAGCTTATCTGCCACGTCCAATACAACGCTCGTGCTCCTGCACCTCCAATAAACTATTATTTCTACAAGAACAACAACCGACTGGGTACAGCAACCTCTGAGAACCATGATCTGGTTAGACGGACTCCTGGCCAGTACAGCTGCAGGGCCAAGGTGCCTCTGCTGGGCATCTCCAGGTCGAGTGAACTTGAAAGCTTTGGACAAGTGAAAGGTACTTAGATGTCAAAGCACCTGCTGTGTGTCCACAAATCTAAGTTTGAGAAGTAATCCTCTCCTTGAATTGTGAGCAAATTCTCATGTCTCTGATCCAATAGGACCAGGCATTATGCTGCATCCAGATCTTCGTCCCAGAAACTCAAGGCCCTTTGCTCCCTCAATCTCCTCCCCACAAACCTCCCGGCCTCCAGCAGCTGAGCCAACAGAAGCCCAGCCCTCCTTTCACCAATCCACTCAAACTCCTACTTTTACTGAGCCTACTGAAGTGAGCAGCATCCAAACCTCAAGTCCAGCGCCGAAGCCTTCACAGCCAGCGCCAAGCACTCTGCAATCTACAGTCCAGTCTCTCAGCCAAACTCCTGCTCTTGTCAATATATTCGAGGAATTGTCTGATGATACGTCTGCAGAATCTAGTGTTGGTTCTGCAGACGTATCTAGTGGTGGTTCTGTAGAATCTAGTGGTGGTTCTGCAGAATCTGATGATATTCCATAGGACTCTTCCCTATGGTGACTAGTAGTCATACATTGGCAGAATGAATGACCTAAATCAAATAAGTTACGTGCAGCTGCCAGATGTTTAGCTGTCTCATACATTGTGCTGGCGGTGCATATTTTGTGTACGATCAATAGTATAATATTGATTTTGTCAACTTCATGATCTCATCTGTTCAAACCTTTTTTGGATAAGTAGTTTTTGTAATAAAAACTGTTGGTATAAGCAAATAAAGCATTCCATAAATCATACAGTATGTACTACTGGATTTTATTATCAATAATCTCTTTTTACAACCCTATTGTACAGCAATACTGCTTACATATTACAAGTATTTGTATAATAACATATATAGTAAACTTACAGTAATAATAATACAGCTCACAGTTATATTATCTTCATATTAAACACATACATTGTTTATTTGTATGTCTTTTTTTTTGCAATTTGATAAATAGCTTAGTTCACCAGTGAGAATTTAAATGGACAGGAAGCAGAGTATAGTTCGACAAAGACATCCATGTACAAAGAGGAGGACAGGAAAAATAAATGATGTGGAGGAAAAGGGGACATGGGGCCGTGTCGTTTCACTGAGGCCAAAACTGCGAGTAAACCATTATTAAACACTTTGACGTAAGCATAATAAATCATACATATTGTGTTCAGAAACTCTGTGCAGTGACTGAAGAGAGTAAAGGTGTTTCATTAAACAGAAAAACATATATGCACACATGAATACATAATATTGGTGGCAAGAAACATTTGAATTAAAAAAAAATTGGCTCCTGCACACTCTCTCTCTTTCTGCTGGCATATTTATTACAGCTTTTTTGTTTGACATGCATATTGATAAATGAAAATATTATCATCATATGGGATTTGTTTTTTTGTCTTTTACCATCAGATAGTTTGGTTATATAGATGTTTAAGTGCTCTATTTATGATAACCCTAATCCAGATTTCCATCCATGATGAATATTGGCACTTTCTCATTTATTTACCTTTGTCATAGGCTGATCCATAGTATGTGATTTTTGCCTTTTAGCACTAAATAACCTTATTAGATTCAAAACATGTAAGTAAATATTCCAGCAATAAACAAGACGTCGTTCTTTTTCTTTAGAGGGTAACAGCTTAAAATAAAAAATATAATATTGAGGTGATGGTATAATAAACATTATATTGATATTGCCCGTCATTAAATGTTCATACTAGTGTGCAGTGCAGCTTTCCAGCAGTTCAAGAGTAATAATATAGTGTAGCACCACTAGTATTTTTCCTTTGCAGGAATCAAGTTGGTCCCGTAGATTCTAGAAGAAGATACTCTCAGGATCAGGGTGTGTCTGGGTACAGCAGGAATCCAGAGAAGATGCTGTCATCCTCACTGCTGGCATACGCCCCATTCCAGTCTCTGAACGTCTCCATCCACACCTGATCCCCCCCCGCCAGCCGCAGCACCACCAGAGTGGACGCCTGGTCGATGTCTTGACCGTACAGAGAGTCCCGAGTCCTTACCCGCCGGGACCCGTTCACCACCAGTGTGGCTCGCAGGGGCTGATTGCGTACAGTAATGTGGAAAGAGAAGACGTAAACCCCGGCATGGACGCAGGTGAAGCTGTTGGAAGTGACATTAAAGTGGTTCTCTTCGTTGTAGAAGATTTTGTCGAAGCGGATCGGGAAGCCAGACGGAGGGAAGGACTTTCTTGGAGAGATACCTACACTGAAGGCTGAGCGTTTCGTGGGTACTGCTGATCCCTTTGCTCCTTTGATTCCACGAAAGCCCCGATCACCTCTCATCCCAGGCCAGCCTCTGTCCGCCTTTGGTCCAAGCGGCCCTCTTATGCCTTGGGGTCCCTGAGGGCCCGGAAACCCTGGTTCTCCTTGCGGGCCAACAGGTCCCTGTTCCCCTCGGATGCCTTCAGGACCTGAGACACCGTGCTGGCCATTCAGTCCTGGAATGCCCATCCCTCCTGGGATGCCAGGGGAGCCGGTATCCCCTCGATCACCTTTCTGTCCTCTCTCCCCATATGTGCCGCAGTCCCCCTTATCCCCCTTCTCTCCTTTAGGACCATTCTCAACAGTCAGTCCTGAAGGGCCAGCTGGGCCCTCAATTCCCGGTTCTCCTTTTTCACCAGCTGTCCCATTCTGTCCAGGTTCCCCTTTCACCCCACTTTCACCTTTGACACCTTGGAACCCTATTACACCTTTTTCACCTTTTGAGCCAATATCACCTGCAACACAGAGGAACTGTCAGAACAGTTGATATCTGGAGACAATATAACATCATTCAAAAATCACCAGAACAAGGTTGCACCTTTTTGTCCTGGTTTTCCTGGGATTCCTGATGGCCCGACTATCCCACTGCTTCCTCTGTCACCTTTATCTCCTAAGAAATGGACACAATAAAGCTAAGACCTAAAAAAAAGTCTTACACAAGCAATATGAATATTCCTTTTAACTAATGAAGCTCAACGTAAGTTCAACCAGGAAGACCGTCTATTCACTATTCCTACGTAACTACTCTCTCTCCTCTCAATAAGTGATCAGGGGCGTCACTCTCCAGCTTAACCAATCACTTCGCTCTATTCCCAAGAGCCTATCATAGCGCTCTGCCAAACCTTTTAAATCTGCTCTCCCCCCTCTGACAGCTGTCATTTCAGGTGACTCTACGCAACCCTCCTCCACCCCTTTTCACCTCCTGTCCCTCTGAATCCAGGGTCAAGCTAAACCACTCCTCTTCAGACCGAACCCAACCATCTATTCACCACCACCAGTGTCTAGACCCCAGGGGGGTTTCATCGGATCGGTTCTACCCTCCCGAATGATACTTCCTGCACAACGGGGCCTAATCGCCAAAATCACCATTACATTCATTTGTGTATCTTTGCAATAAATATGTATTCTTACATCAAAACCGTCTCTCCTGATTGAAGTGACATTAGTGCACCTGTGAACATTAGCCCAGCGGCCCATTGTGTTATACTATATGATAACATTATGGTTGCTTTCTGCATTCTTGAAATATATGATGACATGTTTGTAAAGTTCATGTAATTAGACAAGAGGTTTTCAAACGTGACATGGGGCTCCTCAGTGTCAGACTTTTAAACATGATTAAACATTAATAAATGCCTAAGATGCCAAATTATACTCACCCCTGTCTCCTCTTACCCCGATAGGACCACTCATTCCCGGGGGTCCAGGTAAACCAGCTGCTCCGGTAAAACCCTTGTCACCTGGTGGCCCTATATAAACAAACATAATCAAAGTCCGAAATGCTGAAAGCTAAACATACAAACAAATGAACTGAATAAATCAAAACAAATATTCTTTATTGCACCTTAACATTGAGTGTCTTACCTGGTAGGCCGATGCCTCCCTTTGGCCCCCTGGGGCCTCTCTCAGGTGGACAGCATTCACAGAAGTTGAAGTAGCATTCGTTGTAATCTAGAGTGTAATTCTCAGGGCCAGCACCAGGGGGCTCGGTGCTCTCTGTGAGGTACTGTGGATGGACATGATTTTGGTAGGTGGTCCTTTCTGTGGTGGGCACCACAGGCTTTGCACTCAGCACTACTTTGAGAGTCTTGGGCACGCTGGTGGTCACAGGGCTGTGCACAGTAATCTGAGGGATGGGTTTCTTGGTGTACTGATACTTTGGCTTCTGTGTAGTTTTCGCTTCAGCGCAGCCCACCACAGTGAGTGTAACCACAACTAGAGCCACAAGGCTCGACTGACAGGAGATGATCCTCATGGTTGACGGGGATCTGAGAACAGATGAGTTTATAGTCTACATTACTCTTACCTTCTGTTAGTCTGCACTCATTTAATTGTTCATCCACTTCAGTTTCAAAGACAAGAGGATACACAAATAGCACATGCTGACGAGCAGTTCACTAGTGCAAAACTCCTAGCACAATTATCTTCTCATCTACTATAATTGATTTTCAATATTGTTAATGAAATTTAACTTAATTTCCTCTGTTTCTTTATGCAAATTTCAGGATGTGTTTCAGTGATGTGTCATTTCGACTCGACAAGTCTGTAGTTTAACCCTTCAAAGCTGAAGTATGTCTGTTTATCAGTAAATTCAGCTAATGTGATAATGTTTTTTTGCAATAGTAACATGCATTGTTATCAAATCCAGCATGCTCCTCAACTTGCAATAGGCAATTCTTTACACATAAATCAATCATTTTAAGGTAAACCCATACTGCTGATATTGAAAATGTATAAGACTCACCCAGTTATGCATAAGTGGTATGGTCATTTATCCTCTTGAGCGGTGGCTTGGAGGCAGTAGCAGGAGCTCCAGGTCCCTCTGATATCTCTGCCAGGCTTGGGCGAAAGAACATCCCTACCAATGAGGGTGTTTGCTGGGAGCATAAGGGGAGGTCTGAAATCCACCTACAGCGGGCTGGAGCGGACCCAAGAAGAACCACAGTGCTGTGGCCCATTCTCTGTACCCCTGTTGTGTAGAAAGGTGCTTTTGTGACACGGGATACAGCGCCCGCCAGGAGCACTCCCTCGCTGCAAGCTAGGCGAGGAGCAAAGGCCGTGGGGCAATGGGTCACCCGATATGAGAGGCATTCCTCCAACACCCAACCTACTACCCAGGCTCTTATGGCGGGACAAAGCCAAGCAAAGAGGGTTCTGTGACAGAGGCCAGGGCAGTACAACAACCTTTTTTCAAGCATATAGATTTGGACAGTATTGTGCAGGAAAGTGCATGCAAACCATTTTTTAAAGATATTTTATGTGGATGGTGCAAGTTGGCATTTGAGAGGAAAGATATACAAAAGATGCGGCAATACATTAAAATGATTAACTACTCAGTATTTACAATCTACTGGCACTTGGTAAACATCCAAGAGAAAGCTTTAGCCTTAAGAGCAGCTGATAATCTCCTCATTCAACAGTTGCTAAACCTGAGCTGGTTGTCAAAGGAACCAGCTTATCTACTTTAAATCAGTGCCGATGCAATGCTTGCCTGATCACTGTTACCGACTTTTTGCACATGAGCCCCTAAGAATGCTGGCAGTTACATTTGCTAACTATGATTCATACTGTGTCTCTGGACAATGATTCATTCTTAAGGAGTAACAAGATAGCATCAGGTTTTTGTAGAAAAGTGATTTTCTGGTAGCTTTCTGGTCGAAACTCCTGACTGGCCAGTGAATGAATGTTTGAGCGGTGGACATGCCCCAGTTGTCAAAGACTTCACGTCCTTAGAGGGATCTATGTCCAGCTATGAGTGAGCAGGAAGAAGGGAAATGAAATTTGGGAAACAGAGAGGGGTGATGGTGGATGAGGGCTACTAAATAAGAGAAGATGGTGTTTATTTAAACCATTTTTTTATCTCTCACATATACTTGTACCCATTTACCTCCTCACCTCCATTTACATGCTCCTCTTCTCCCTCCTTCCCAGCAGCTCAGGTGAAGTGTCCCTGAATTACCCCTCCACAAAAAAACAACAGATGGAGTGTAAGATATGCAGCTGAGTCCTGGGAGAGGGGTTCCTCTGGGGTTCTCCATGCCCGACCTCGACCCCGTCGTTTCTCAGCTCCATTCACACCACACACAACAGCAACGGTCAGCTTACAGAGCCCAGCTGGTCACAGAGGACCCAGACGCCGCTCACCTGTCCGTTCATTTAACACTGTCTACGGCTCTGCCCTCGGCCTCCATCAGTGCACACTATACAGCGTGGGGGAGCAGTAAGAGTTAACTTACTCTGAGGTGCAGCCGAGCAGAGAGAGGACCTAAGATGACTTGGATGGATGGAGGAGTATTGTCTTACATTAACCCTATTAATCTGAAGGAGATCTTGAAACAATATGTGAGAGTGAGACCATAAGAGAGACTTGTTTCGTAACCAACACAGCAACCCGTCATAGTATCATTATTCCAGTAGGCAGTTTTTGTGATTTACTCTGGGATCTTATCAAAGAAAATCTAGATCCTGCAGAATTAGCGACTAATGACATTGGCAGGAGATTTGCTGGCAGTGAAGACTCGTCTCATGTAGTCAGGCAGAGAACAAAAACACTTTCTCTTGGCACACTTTCCCTGAAAAATCCTCAATGTTGGTTGAGGAAAAAAGAGCAAAACAAGAGTCAAACAAATTCATATCAATGTTGGATATTAAAATGTAAAATAGATCCATCGTTTTTTATTTGAATATCATTTGCTATTGTTTTGGAATCAAAACATATTGTGTTTCTCTGTAACTCATTGTTAATTTAGTTCCACATTCCCTTACTTAAACAGTTTAGATTAGATTAGATCAAATTAAACTTTTAATCTTGTAATTCAATGTGGATTGAGTTCCACCTAACCTTACAGTACTTGGACATTTGCTGTTTTAACAAAACTGTGTCTGCGTCTTTTTCCTCAGATTCAACATGTCCAGATCCGAGTGTCCTCATTCTTTAACACAGGGTTTACTTAGGGATCATCAATAAATTACCTTTTGAAGACAAATATACAAATAATGTTATTTCAATACCCCGAACTAACTTGCCTCAATTAGCAAAGAACAAGCGAAAAATGTCAAACGTGTCTTACCTGGCACACTTTTTTGAATACTAATATGTCATGATTTGATTGTACAACAATACAATTCAAGAAAAGTTTAAATAGCTTCTATGTCATGTGACCCAGTGACTCCAAATCAAAATTCAGCATTGTATTACCATATTGAACTAGGAGCACACACTTTTTAGGAATTAAGTGTTTTTACTATTGTATGTGAATATTGTTATGAAAAACGTTCATTATGAATAATTAAGTGATTCCTGTACTTGATTCAGAGGTTTGTGATGATGTTTTTCTTCACTTAGGTACTACATTCGGCAAAAGATGATTTACTTGACCACTTGGTGGCAGACTTGTCTAAAATGTAAACACAAAGATCCTGCATGTATCAGCTCAAACCTTTACAATTCACATTATCCAGAGGGTTAAGATGTTTCTCTAACACACATTTTTTGGGAGCAGATATTTATAAAGCTACATTGCTCTTTACCAACTTGTAATGAGGACCAAACCCAGCACAACATACCTAGTGTCCATGTCAGGTTTTTGCTCCAGCTGTTGATCAACGCCTGGTTTGGCTCAGTTATTTATCTCAACCACTCCCAGTCTCATATTGACTCATTCATAATTAAGATATACTGTGGCGCTGGGAGCTGTGTCATGAGGTGAATAATTTCTCTATCTTTGATCAACAAAGAATGGCCATAATTGCGCATTCACTTTAAATGCCACAGGACAAACCATGTCTGATTGCACAGAGATCAGTCTAGAAATAATCTGGTGCTGACATGCAGCAGAACAATTCAACAACATAAATGATCCTTCAACCATAATGTGATCCTGAATACATTCACAATCCAAGGTACAACTTGGACCATTGTGTCCAATCTATATGCCAATTGTTTGCCCAGTGATTTTCCGACAATGCGCTGAGAGCCTCTGTTTTACCCTGTACATGAAGACTTTCAATTGAAAAAGAAGAAATCCATCATTAAGGAAGAAAAATATAAAATGTGTTTTCTTTGCAAATAGAGCATTCCTGAAATAAAGTTGATGGAAAATGTATTTATGTATTCATAAAAATGTCCATGTACAAGACTTATTAAATTACCTTTTCTTAAAAGGGAAATATGGTTAAAAGAGTGTATGACGAAGTCAGGTCCACAACAGAAACAGAAAACACAGAGAGACACACACACCCAACAGTGCAAACAATGCTCACTCAAACAAAGCATTATATCAAACATTATATCATATTTTAATGGCAGGGTCTTTTTTTGTCCTGTTTCTTTCTATTGGAGTTTTTATGTTACAGATATTCCCACTAGTGACTTGAAAACAACCAAATCATTGCAACATGTGTTTTCACAATGAATCACACAGCATGCGTCATACAGTAGCTGTATGACGCATGCTGTAGAAGATAATTAAGTTATAAATAAATACAAGGCGCCGACTATTTTTGTACTGCTGTTGTCATTATGATGTGTTTTACTATAAACACCCAATACATGCAACCAAAGCCGAATAAAACCTTTTTATTTTCCTGGTGTGAAGACTTCCACAACAGTTGACTTTTTAAACATTATATTTTGTTTTATTTTGTACTGTACATAAAATATGTAAACTGCATGTTTCCTAAAGCTTTTCAAGAGAAAACACTGAAAATGTACAGTAATGACACAAATGTAATATTATGGCACTTTATGCCAAGTTATAAGCCATGTAAATTATAAAAGAAGAGTCTGTATTGTAGAATAAAAAAACACAAGTACCCATCTCATTAATTGTTAATCATTAAATACACAAATATGATCACAAACATTATTTCGAGGATCATCTACAAGTTGAGAGCTGTGTTTGTGTAAGCCAAAACTGAGGACTGTATTACTATTTGAACACATTTCTCTCTCACTCTGTTAGTTGCTAAGAGTCTGTCCCAGTTTTATTTGGAAAATGGTCACAGGCTATAAGACAACAGAAACATAACGCCACCGCTCTGAGTGTTGTGAGAGCAATTGAGTCAGCAGATAGCTTTGTTTACACCTTGTCATTACGGAGATAACCTCTGGCCTCTTCCTTCATGGGATACAAATGAACATGAAGAGTGTAAACAGAACTAGGTTCTTGATAGGACAGTTCTTCAAAGTCACTGAGGCCGAAATGCACTGGATGTCATTGGAAAATGCAGGACTTTTTTAAAGGAATAAAAGAC